TAGGAAGAAGAGAATTTCCATTGTGGATTGTTTTACTTTTGCAACTAAACAATTGAAGATAGAACAACGGTAAATCATGACACAATTAAGTACCAGTACGTACTATGATTATACTACGCACATAGTAATACTAATTAAACTTCTCCGTAATTTTAAATTAATAGATTAAAAGTACAGCTTGTCAAAAAGAAGCCAAGTTTACGTTTATTTAAATTTGTGGAAGTGAGCAAAATGGTAAATTTTAATAACAAATGTTAAAATTCAATGGCAACGGCAGACCTTTAAAAGAAATAAAACTGTGGGAACAGAAAGCATTTGTTTTGTATAAGAAATACAGATTCTTGCAGCAACTCTAGTTCCTGCGAGAGTAATCTTGTGAGAAGAAAACTCATCAATTATCTGTAATAAACTTGGGAATAATACGCCTGTAGAAAATGTACCTTTACTACCAATATCGTGAGAACAGAAAGGCAACGTTCATTTCTTGTTATAAGCAACGCTTTTATTGTTAGTGTTAGGGCAAGTAGATAGATATCTATTGATATCTTACCATCTCGTGGGTCATCATTAAAAATTTGATGCTTAATTGTAAGAACGAAGATAATATCTGTTAGAACTTTCTTTGTTAAATAGTACATAATAATATACAGAGTGTCCAGATAAATACTAATATTAAAGTTTGCAATACAGAAATATTTATATGAATATTAACTGATTGCAGAAATCAAAAAATTAGAAAAAGTCGCCATGAAATTCACTTTACTGTAAATTCAATAACAATCGACATCAATATTACATTGATAAAGGGAAAGAACACATGGAAATGCACGTTTTACGTTTTGTTAGAACTTTTAATGTAGCATTTATAGAATTTTTACTGGATGATATTTTTATTAGTCCTGTGCCTATTGAATTTAAACTACAAATGGCCACGTTTATAAAACATGATCTATTATCATTAAATGAATTTAGGATTTTTGAATTTAAATTTAAATTTCAATAGTAATTTAGATCTGTCTGATCGAGAACATCTATAAAAGGACATAAAAATTTGAAAATTGAAAATTCGAATGCAAGAAGAACTTGTTTTGTAATATACAGTATGATTAAAAAAAAAACAATTTCGAATAAATAGATTGCAATTTTATCTAAAAAAAGCATCGATTTAATTTCTACATTTAATACTTATAGAATATATTAACAGAGTTCGAACACTAAACGTCTGGACACTTTGTACGTAAATTAATCGACTTTCGATAATTAAGCATTAATAATAATTACACACTGCAACCATTATATACAAATGATAAAATTTTATATTGAAACTTGTATCAAATTTCTCTTTCTTCTAGCTACTTTCTTCGTTTTTCAAAGAGGGGAAAATATTTAATTGGACGTGACGAAAGTTGAAACTTTCGTAGCTGGTATGAAACATCTGCATGAGCATTGAAATTGTGAGAATATAAAAAGTGTTGAGAATACCGTGATAATGTTACACCTTCCACTTGAGGTGAACTCGTGAGAAATTGTCTATCAGACAGTAGTGTACCTTGACGTTACCTAATAATTGTCATGTAAATTCAATGATTGTCTTATTACCTAACTTGACAATGACGCGATAGGATCGACCATTAGAAACACAATTATAGGGTTGGGTACTTTTGGACCAGAAGTTCTTGTTGTTTCTACATCCGCATTGCAACTGAATCGACATACCTGGCGAAAGTATCTAATTTTTCATGCAATGGAATCAAATAAAATTTATTTATGGTTATAGTCTATTGTCTTTGCCAACATGGCATAATACTCTGTCTCTAATTTCTTTAAAAATGCTATTGTCATTTAAGAATACTTATAATGACCAATTTGCTTTCTTCAGCAAGGAAAAGCAAAAGACCTTTCATAATCAGTGTCAATCTGAAATTGACACCCTCATTTTTTGGATTTTCATTGTCGATTTAATAAAAGTTAATATTTCTCAGCATAAACAACACGGTATACAGGTCCCAGCGAGTATATTCAATAAAAAATTATTAATCATCGTAAAACGAAACTTCAATCTTTAAGATCTTGGTGAATTTAATTATGGAACAAATTGTTTTAAAAATGTCCATAAAAATGTTTGAATTTCACCCCCTTCAAAATGATGAAAAAAATCTTTTTTTGAGAAAATAAACTAGTACTGTAAAAGTAGCACGAAAACTTTCTGGAGTTATAAAACATAGAGAATCTTGTAGTGCTAACACGCTACATAGAACTAAATGTTCTATAATAATATAAATATTCTTGTTAGTATAAAAGAGACAGAAACGAATCTGTACACCGATACAGAGTTGA